AAGAGTTCTAGAATCGAAAAATATAGCAAACTTTTGGTAATACGTCAAGGTAGAATATTATAAGGAAAAAGGTAAGACAAATTTGTGCTTTGACGTATTACCAAATAAATGGTGATAATTCGACACTACGTGCCTCATCATCGGATGCTTTCGTGTATTACCAGATATGATAACAATTCGGCACTATGTGCTTCATTCTCAGGCAATATTCGAGTGCAATATAATGGATAACATTCGGCACTACGTGTCTCATCCTTGATCGATATTTGAGTGCATCATACAAAGCTAGAATACGAATACTATTTCGGCACTACGTGCCTCAAACCTGGCCCTCATCGAGGAATTAACCAGAAAGCTAAGGGCACTACGTGCCCGGTTCGGGCATAGCCCTCACATTGGGCCCGCAAATGACGACACGCGACTGAATGCATCGTCAGATATATTTTTTTTACCCATGTAAGCTGACGACGGAAATCGGCCACGATCACCAAACCGGCAAATGATATGTTGCACGTAGAAGTGACGATGGAAATCGACTAGATCATTATTCAGATATATATCACAATGGCTCTCGAATGACGATACAAATATGATCTGTATATCACCTGAATTATTAAAAGGAAGTAAATATTAAGCTTATTAGAGGTCAAAATGGATAGCTATAAAATAAGTAGGTGACAGTATACTCATAAGTAGGTAACAGTATACTCATAAGTAGGTAACAGTATAACGTAAGTAGATAACATTATATATATAATGTTATCTACTTCCTGACGTTCTATTTTCATTAACAGGAAGTTGCAAATAGTGATGAATATCAGGCAATTGGCAGCAAATTCTTTTTCCGGAAATAAACCAGTAGCCATGCTAACTGATTTGTGGAAGAATTACATCTTCTACTGGATTGGTCGTGCACAAGATGCTACATTACAGAATCCATCTAATGTCATCTATGCAACTAAGTTTCAGGACATCCACCAAGCTGCAACGTTTGCATGGGCTTTGTTGATCCCTAAATTGGTAAATGGCTTTCCTGAGACAATTCGCAATGACTTTCCTGTGGTTGAGAAAAGAGTTCTGATCAAGTACAAGGATCTGAAAGCCTATGGTGTTCCATTTTAATCTGATGATGACATTGAGAATCTTTATGATTTCATAGATGAGATGGATCCAGTGGAGCGAAATTTATTGGAGGGAACCAAGAAATTTAGAAGTGTACTACCATTTATACCTTCAAGATTTCGTGACTGTATTCAAATAATGGTATCAGTATGGCTGAAGAAAAATAAAAAATTGTGGAATGAAAAGTATTTGCTTAAATTATAAAATTTCGCACATTGTTACGGTCGGATGGGATGGTCTGGGGTTTGGGAGAGCGATTAATCTTCCGCGTAGAGGTGTTTTCCGACCGGGGATTATTACCAGATTAGCTTCATGCTACCGCCATTGTTACGGTAGTTTTTCAATTAAGACTGAATTCTAATCTACAAGTGACCTAATCTATTATAATTAAATTTGCGCGCTTCCTAACTCCCTATCCGAGCTTCAATCACTCGTGATTCCAAATAAGGGTACCCACGATAAGATAACAACAATAATTATTCTACCGCAAACAAGGCTTTCTTCGATTTGGTATTTCGACTAGTCGGGTTCCGTCACTTGTCACTAAATAACTAATTAAACAATGTTTGTTTCAATAAATAATTATTGGCTCTCGTTCCTCAATCAAGAGTAGACTAGACGTTTACAGCTTGAGTGAACCGTTTATTAGTGTGTCCAGTCAAATAATTAATATTTCAACAATGAAAAAAAGTAAGTTTCGATTTCAAAGGGAATCGTTTATTTGATTGTTATTCCGTGGAGTGTTCTAATAACCTGAACAACATTTTATAACAACATGAACAATATTTACAACATATACAACATGAATAACATTAACATCATAAAACATAAGAATTCGACGATGGGATAAGGGTCGCTTATATACCTTTAGCGACACTCAAAAATCGAAACATTTTCTGCGCCTGACACTCAAAATTCGATTCTAAAATTAACATTGAGTCATTGTTGAAATACTCATGGAAAAGGCCAAGAAATCGACCGAAATGCAAATTTTTCGAGGTAAAAAATCTTACGCCACGCGTAAAAACAGAGGCCTGTTTCGATAATAATAATATTTTTATTAAAAGCTTGTAAACCGTATTATTGACATTAGGTAACGAGACACAACCACTTACTATGAGAATAGACCAATGACCATAATCTTCACTCGCCTGCGCCAGAACTAAAATTAATAATATCAATATAACAGACAACGGAGACGGATTCCGGCTCTGCTTCTTCCAAGACAGTAGATTACCAGCATGCGAACTCAATTCTTTAATAAATTCTTAAGGGATATCACAAAACTCCTCGACGACAGTGATGATTATAACGTCAAACTGGAAATTGGGGAGGGGCCTGACGCAAGATTCTTCTGGGCACATTCGATAATATTGCGCACCAGGTGTCCATTTTTCAACAGGGCCCTAAGTGATACTTGGGCAAAAAAGACCGAGACGGGACTATTCACCTTGAAGAAACCAAACATTACGCCCTCAACGTTTAAGCTGTTACTTAGGTATTCTATGATGTTATAACGTTTGTACAAGTCAATTTACTAGTCACGACTCAATTACCTGGAAAACGGTCGTTTGCGGTTCAAATATTTTATAATTAGTTTATTCGCTATACTCACCAACTTGCCTGAACATCAGTTACTTTTATACAGGTGATTTACAACTCAACAACTCCGTAGAAGCCATAGATCTCCTTATTGCAGCCGACGAACTTGATTTAGGCGAACTGTTCGAATACATTCAGGATTTCCTTATCGAGAACGAAGCAGACTGGATCGAAAATCACCTTGTCAAAGTATACCAAATCGCATCAAAGATCTACGCCTGTAAAGAACTCGAAGAATCCTGTCACAAGCTTCTCGAGAATTCTCCCGATCTCATGCTAATATCAAACGACTTTCGATCTATTGAAAAAGAGAAACTAATCGAGTTGTTGCAAACAAACGCCTTTGCAATGAAAGAGGTTGAGCTATTCGAGAAAGTGATGCAGTGGGGAATTGCCCAGAATCCCGAGCTGGATGATGACTTGTCGGTATGGGACGATGGTGACTGGAACGCGTTGAGAGAATCTGTGAAATTATGCTTGCTCCATATCAGATGGGCACGTATATCAAGAACAGAATATTCCGAAAAAGTTAAACAGTTTAAAAAGGCTTTTCCTGCTAATATACGTATGGCATTGCATACTCATTTTGTTATAACAAAAGGAGTTAGCCCGCTAGCTATGAATATGGTGTCGTCATCATTCCTGGGAGGTGGTGACAGGAAACGCTCTAAATACCAACAATATCAAGAACGTACTCTCGAGTCGTCTATAATAAAAGCAGAGCATGCGGTGTTGATATCTTGCTGGGTTGACCAGTTTCCAGGGGATGATCCGTTCCTTCAACATAATGTACGTAGATTCGATCTTCTGTATCGTGCGTCGGATGATGGATTCGAACGATCTACTTTCAACGAAAAATGTCTGAAGGCATCAACATTAATTTTGTGGAAGATTCAGGAGAATGGACATATCATCGGGGGGTATTGTGAAAATGGATTCGCTAATGGAAAGCTGACAAATACAGATGTAGATACAGATTCAATATGTTTTGTGTTCTCACTTAATGATGGAAAGAATCTCCGGAAGGCGTCTTATATACCGCTGGCGTCCTTTGATGACTTGGATTCTGGGTTCACCTCGAGCATTGCGAATAAGTACAATGTGCATTTGGGAGATTCTAATTTCTCGATGTGGGAGACATCTGGGACGTTAAAATTTTCATTGTGTAATAAGTTAACTATCCAAGAATGCGAAGTTTTTTCTCTGAAAAAAGTGTAGAGTGTAGAGAAAATTGATAATACTATTCATAAATTTTCGGTGGGTCGGGGGGGGGGATGGGTTAATTTCTTTTCATTAACACTAACAGTTTTTGGTGTTTGTATTTATTATCGACTTGTAGATATACAGACACAGTCTGTTATGTAATCAATCCTATTATTAAGTAATAGAGAATTTGTTAATATAACTCAGCGACAATGGATTTCTAAGACAACTTGAAATTTTACTATTCGGTCTTACTCTCCGGCATCTGAATTGAATGATATTTAGTAGCCACTTGAACTTTGACGCTTTGCATAGAGCTTGTGTATATAAGAGTTCGTTTCGAGTGAGGTGAATTGAGTATTTTGAATCCGATTCAATTCTCAAATACTAAGCCAGAATAAAAAACTCTCTTGTAAAAATGGGTAATATCAAATAACTTTCCAAGTATTTATTTATTGACTGCAAACCAATTATTTTCGCGACAATACTGTGTATACGCGACAATCTTATCTTGTGCTAGAAAGCAACCACCTGATGAAATAGGATAAACGATAATTAAAAATAGTGCGTTTGGTTTATTGCTATCAAATTTAATGTTAACTTTTTTTGTCACATTTATCGTGGTGGCTTATTGCACATATGAAGATAGCTCCTCGTTCTTCTGACATGAAAAGTTGGCCAATGGAATTGACATGCTCTCATTCTGCTCATCTACTTGTGATATTAACTATCAAGGTTAAAATCGCAATTTTTCATTATTCCTAAACAGGCATTTTGTACACTCTTCGATCGATTTGCAAGTTTAACTTTAGCTAAGCTTTAAACCTTATTTGCATGATTACAAAATTTTTGGGGATAGGCGCCATTTTTTTTTTTTCTTTTTTTTTTCTCTTTTTTATTACTATCGAGAGTTAGTGTGCCAAGTTGTACGGCGTACACAAGAACTGTTCAATGTGTTGTTGTTTAGAATTATTTCAATGGTTTGTTTTGGATATTTACTTTCAGTTATTTAATAAAAGAATCTGCAAGTCACATTTTAAGTAGTTCCGATATTCGTAATGTGTATTAATGCTCTTCACATTAGATGAGTTGATAACACTTGTGGCTGCTGAATAATCTGAGGCTGTGATGCAGTTTTTTTTTCTAGTTTTTTTTTCTAGTTTTTTTTTTCACCCTTCGTATGATCGAAATAATATTAACCTGATTATCAGACATTTGTAGAAGCAGGAGTGTATCCCGCTTGTTTCAGTCGTCTCTTCCGGTTTCCAATGCCTGGTTGGGAGTCTGCTGACACAGTGTAGGGCCAAAATAATGCTTGCTACTTATAATAATGCTCTAAATACCTAGTTTTACGTTAAGCCTCCCATAGATAATTAATTGTAATGTCATAATCATGAAAAGCAATACTGCTTAAAAACGGCCTGCGGCTTGCTAGATGAGCCAGCTTGCAAAAAATAGATTACGCGTAAGCCGCGCGACAATGTCTGCTGAAGTGGAAGAAAGCGATTATTATCCTGTATATCAATTCTTCAACAAAAGGACGATGCCAGAGTAGTCCAAAAAGTGCACTCTGAAATCTGTTTGAGCAATATTAGTATGGGTAATTAGAAACCTTGTTAAATTCTCGAGAATGTCGGACCATAAATCAGCTTCAGCCGATCTACTATACCTGCATACCACAACGGAAAATCGACCATTTATGGCATAATAATAATAATCTAATCAGTCGGCTCATCGAGTAGTGATTTAAAGCCCTCATATAGATAGTACTTTTTTAAGCGTTAAATGACGTAAATCGGATGCACAACGTTTTTGTACATGTGGCATGTTACAAATTACTTTGTTTGTAATTCAAATTTTATCACGAGATCAAAATAATTACCAATTGCAGACTAGCCTATAGATACTAATATTAACTGTTTAATATCGGATCAAAGTTCATGGTAGCATAGATAAAACCACCCCATCCCCACCCCCCTCAAAGCCCACTCATGTCGTATTAATTACTTTGCATTTGTTACTTTTATTTTGCATCTGAATATAGAATGAAGATAGAACTCACCCCCGCTCTACTTCGAGATCTAGAAGAGTTATTTGCGAATGCCGACAATTATGATGTATCGATACAAGTAGGGGAGGGTTCCGAGTCGAAAACATTTCACGCACACTCTGTCATACTTCGGGCTCGATCGCCCTACTTTAACGAAGCATTGTCGAAACAGAATGCTTGTCTATTTGGTGGGTTAACAAATAAGCAAGTAGTTAACGTAAAGCTACATGAGCGTATTCGCGCTTCAACATTCGGGACGCTACTAAAGTAAGCAGAGGTTAAACACTAACGCTTCAACCCATTACCTCGTTTATCAATGTCAATAATTAACCGAATTTACTTGTCTATTTCTCGCGTCCCAACTCTCTAGATACATATACACAGGCAGGATTACACTGTCTGAATACACAGCTGACACGATATTCGATATTCTTCCCGCTGCTGATGACCTTTTCCTCGACGACCTCGTTGATCAGATCCAAGATTATCTCGTCACCCAACAATCCACCTGGCTAAAATCGCGCTTTGTCCTCATCAATCGCACCGCTTTCGAGTATAACCGTTTCCGCCACCTGCGATCATACTGTCTAAAACTGATACGTGAAGAACCGGGTGCCATATTCATGTCGTCCGACTTTCATAGTCTAGACCAAGGCACGTTGGTTAGTTTGTTGAAGAGGGATGATTTGGCACTGGAGGAAGTTGAGATTTGGATTCGGCTGATCAAATGGGGAATGGCACAGAATCCAAGTCTTGCAAAAGACGTGTCATGTTGGGGTCCAGAGGACTTTGTCACGTTGCAGGGCATAGTCAAGGATTGTGTTGAGCATGTGAGGTTTCTGAATATGTCGTTAGAGGAGTTTGCCACTCACGTATTACCTTACGAAAGTCTTATTCCTAGACAATTGTTCCGCGACGTATTCGCATGTATATTGCAAAAGTCACAATCGCTTGCGTTGGCAAAGTCAACTCAGAAGAAATTGGTATCTATTAGAAATACGCCTCGGTTTGCCAATAGATGGAACTCGGTGATTATTAATTCTGAGCAGGCAGCTTGGATATCTGCTTGTATAGACAAACTGGATAAAGGCGACTTGAAGTTTCATCTCCGTAAGGCTGGAATCGTCAAGAATTCATTCAAATATAGACTTTTGCTTCGTGGCAGCCGCGATGGATTCGACCATCAATCGTTTCACTCGTTATGCGACGACCAGGGTGCGACTGTAATTATCATCAAAGTAGCGGAGACTGGTGAAATTCTTGGCGGATATAATCCATTGCCATGGAATCAGTCTGTTAATTGGGGCGAAACAGAGGACAGTTTTATCTTTTCCTTCAAAAACGAGCATTCGAAAAAGGGATTGTTGTCTCGTGTTAGGAATGCCGACAGAGCCGTGTTTAATGGAAGCACCATATTCGGTCCCTGTTTCGGTCATGAAGATCTGGTTCTCAAGGGAGATTTCAGAGATTTTCAATGTTGTAAGAGATCTGATTATTGTTTGGAAATTAAGAATTCTAGAGACTACTTTACGGTTGAAGAGTATGAAGTATTTGGGATCGAGAAGAGGTCGAGGTGGTTTTTCTGAACCTTATTGTTGTCATGGTCATATGTATTCTGGTCGAAAAGAGATTATGATTGTTCTTTTGAACAGAGCTTTGTTCATGAGTTGTAATATATAGCGTTGTTTCGATAGTATTGTCAATGTAAATAAATTAGTAATAGCCCGTTCTGGCATTTATTCTTTGCGATGTTTATTTAATCATCGATAAGGCGGTGTTTCATTCGTTTGAAATTCCCGCCTCTTGAATAATTAACGGAGTTGATTCTTCAAACATTTGCATAATTTACTAATATTATCACCATTAAACTATTGAGTGAAGCTCAATATACTGATATTTAGCAAATATTCTGACTATGAACTTTTTAGCCAGCCTAAACAATGGCTTATTGGCCTTGTCTTCGATACAAATGTTAGGATTTCGTAAGGCGTTTCAAGCTCTCGCTAGATTTGAACAAGATGTATTTTTAATGCCCCAGCTGAAAGCAATGAATGGTGGAGAAATCACTACCAGCCGACGGCTTAAAAAAAACGCGTACTTATAAGCAAACGTTTTATTACTGAGATGGTCATACGCCTCTCTTTGTCAGAAAACATACCTCAATATGCTGGGAATTGGCCGTACTTAAAAAAGTGCCACGATGGAAAACCAAAATAACCGTTGATACGTACGTATAGCAGTTGCTACCACTGTGAAGAATTTTCTCGAGAACTATGCTGAAATTCATGGATTACAAGTCCTGGTAGGAACGCCAATCGCATTACTCAACCGTTACCCGAAAAGAGTTACAAATCGGTCTATTACGATTTTATTGCAGGTCTGGAAATATTGAAATTGTTAAAATATGACGCATTCTGGCACCAATTAACGCAAATCATGAGTCACAAGAACGGATTTATCTGACACGTGCCAACATTTTCGGAACGGCTTACAGTAATAGTAGGGAAGAGAATTACTGAAAAAACACAAAGAACATCTGGTTAAGGTAAAGTCAGAGAAACTATTACCACAAAAATACGAAATTAGCAGAAGAACAATGAAAATTAGTAAATGAGCATGTTATAACAAGAGGTAAATCTGATCATTGTAGCGTTGACGCTATTGCTCATTACAATTACGTTGAGCACAAAATGTTCACGTGCCCCATTCCGATCAGCAGGCGTAAATATAAAGTGCATTTATTATTATTCGGTATTCAAGTTGAAGCAGTACGCGAAATAATAGGGCAAAGGTCCTATGATACACTGAGAAGTTTACACTGAACATGGTGGCTGTTCGATGGAATTAAGAGATTGAATAAAGGTTGTGATAATGCGGGTGGACAGAATAAATCAGTCATGGATGGCAGACGATTTATCAAGAGAATAAGAACTGAACTTATCGAAAGCCACTAAATCCCAACTGCTTCAACTATCAGAATTACGAAAAATATTTATCTTCCGCTTGAAGATTCTTTGGTTATATACGATAATAAGGGATAATTAGAGAGCGAATCGGTAGACAGTAAAAATTTACTAATATTCATCGTTGTAAACTATCTTCAAAGGCAATCTTACTTATGACTTCAAAAATTCAGGAACCGTTTCGTAGATGATTTTGAGCATAAGTAAATATAACATATGAACAAAAGTTTCATGATTATTTGCAAAACAAAGAAAATTTTTATTAAACAGCAAAAAATATACTTAATGATATAATGAAAGGAGCAATAGAGATGCGAAATTTATCTTGAGAATTGTTATATAATACTACATTGATACAACTTTATTGCCAAGTTTGTGTTATATAATACAAACAAATAAAATTTATATGATCAATCGCTACTAATATAGCAATGATGTTTCTGATATCACGGTGAGGCCGACTTATCGAGTTTGGCTGTGTATTATGAAAGTATTGAATTGAATTTCATGGTACCTGGGCATACTAAATTTAAGTGTGATGGTAGCAATGCAATGGACAAGCTTATGGATCGAATAAAGTAATTGGAAATTAGTTTGTTAGATAAAGATCAAGAAATAAGCAGGAGAGATTATTTAGCAACCAAAAAACTACCAGCTTTACAAAACAAATAGATTATGCAAACAAAAAAAATTAGTAAGTAAAGCCAAAAAAACTAAGAGAAATTCCAGACTTTTATTGTTCAAAAGAATAAATAAATCATACGGGATTAGAATATAGAGTTCTGGAAATAGCAAAGGATAATGAGCAAGCGTGTGATAACACGACTCTCCTTAACTTTGATACTGCTCTTTAATGCTCGTTTATTGATTATTATCTTTCGTAGATGCTCCTCAAGAATTTTGGTATTATTGATTCTAAAAACATAATGTTACGGTCGGAGCGATTATCTTTCGGAGAATGTTACCAGATTTAGCTTCGTGTCACGGCCCTTACTAACGGTGATTGTGCACTTAAGACTTCTACAAGTGACCTATTTTAAATTGATTATCCTACTTCCTATACGAATATTCGTAATCCAAATAAGGGTACCTGCAATACAATCACAGCAACAATGATTATATCGCAGAATCGAAGGGAAATGATTTATTTAACAGAGCAAACCTTGATTTGGTGTTTCGACTAGTTAGTTAGTCGGGTAAACGTCACTTGTCTTTAATAACCTAATTAAACAATATTCGTCTCAATAATTAATTATGAACTCTTGTTTCGCTATTTGCGTAACTAATCTACGGACAACTTTACAACTTGAGTGAGCCGTTTATTGTACAAAGCTCGATAATTAATGTACAGTATATAAGGCGTCTGTTTCTACATGCTCACGATCACGTTCCTATGGTCCCTTGAAAATTTCTTGTCTGTGACATTATGTTCGCTTTGTTTACATATAATTATGTCGTCCATTTCAATTGAAGCTGTGGTCATCTTCTTAAGACTGTCATTCGAAGTGGATCCCAAATATAATATAGAAAATATAATATTACACGAAACTGTAGGAATTTGAATTGTGCAACCACGCTTAGTATTATAAATCCGTAAATAGCAAGTCACAATACTGAATGTGAACATTATATTTACCACCAACAGAAAGACCTATAATCATAATGTTGAATGAAATCATTTTAACGTAAATAAAAACAAAACATTGTAACATACGCAACATACGCAACATACGCAACATACGTAACATACGTAACATACCTAAGATTATTGTAGCCGATATGGTTGTCTCTGCGCACTATAATCAGTAAGCATTAGTACACATGAACAACGCATGATATGCATTGATCTGTATTTGTGCTCACCTGATTCACGAGCGTTATTATGTATCCTCCTAGCATTAATACTCTGCAAAAGAACACCCACAAATAGTATGACAGCTTCTTGGAGACAGCCTTCTCGAGTGTTATTCTCTGTAAAGCCATGTTACTGCCCAGTAAATCATGGCCGACTTGGTGCATAACACTCAATGTACTCATGTAAGAGCACAGTACCAATAGAGCTATGATCGATATCGAAACAAAAACTGCGATCACGGGCAATGTGGTTACCCAACCCGAGCTCAGATGACTGAATGGAATGCGATTATGGTTAGATTTTAGCCCCATTTGATCGAAATGATGTTTTTGTACTCACTCTATACTCCATGCTGCGAACGACAGTGGCAACGATGCTCCCATCACACTTGTGAATAATTTCCAATCATGCCTTCCCAAATTCAAAACCATATTCCTTGCTAAATTTAGATACGTCAACACTATCATGGTTCCCCCCATAAACATAGACATTGAAATTATCACGAGTGCGAGTCCTTTCAACACCGAATAAATCGCCTCCATGTGTGGCCTGAACGATACCTATCATAGAAAGTAAATTAGCATGAACCGTGAAACACTTGTCGTCTCATGTTTCGGTCGAGCTTTTACCGTGTCGTATATCACAATGAAGCATAGCACAAAGTCTGAAACAAATATTTGTTATTGAATAAGGTCAGTTAATCTGCAAACAAACAACCACATGCTTGATTCCGTTCGTAATCGTAAACACATACATACCAAGCGTCGCAGTGTAAAATGACACTTTCCATACCATGGGCATTTCTTTGGATGTAGAGTCTCTCCAGCGACAAGCAGTTTTGTAGAATATATATACACATGCAAGGGAATTCAGTGTCAAGGTGCCCAGCACCACTACTAGAACTTGCTTGCCGTCGCTCATTTGCGATGCTTCTCTGCCGACCGTGGATTGCACGGCACCAACTCTTTCGATGAACGCTAATAACGAGACTATACAGGTTGGAAATATACAGGAAAGTGTCTTGTATTGCACGTCAGATTAAAGCTGTCAAATTCTATGAATTGTCATATTTTTTGTAATTAGCTGGGCTCATGCTCTCTCTATTTCAAAGCGCGACCATCACTGTCACTGTTCTGTTATTTATACTTTACACAGACATTCACTATCCGGATTATTTCCAAATAGAATCTTGTATTAATTCGCAATATTTATTGGCGATTATTGATTATCGATAACTTGGCCTTGGCAGTTAAATTTTGCTCTGATGGTCGACAATTTAGTACAAGATTATTTACCGTAAAAAAACAAAAAATCGACAACATAAGCATTTAATTATAACGTCAATATTATTTGTCACAAATCACGAATTGAGGATCGGGCAGTTGTCTGCGGAGGCGTGGCAGGCGAGTTATTCTGTTTTTTCAAGTTATTCTACAACAAATAATTTGACAGCCAAATCTTGCATACGGTTGAAAAATTCTAAAAGTATAAACCATGCAATGCAAAGTATAAACCATGCAATGCCTTGTTCGTATATTCGATAGTCTTCCATGTCTTTGCCGTAATTAATTAATCGCTGTTGAGAAAGGACGTCTTTTGTATGCCCTTATGTTCACTAGCCATGCGCGTAAACCCAATCCTAAATTGTTAATCCGTCCTAAGATGCTAATATTGATTAACACGAAGCATTGTTTGACTCGTTTTGGTATCTATTATTTTTCCCGCTTCTCCTTTATGTACGGCACTATTTTTGACTATCCGGTTAATGTAACACTAAATAATAGCGTCGCATTTGGTTATATGCAAAATGTCGATGTTCGTTGCCATATATAGGACTTATCTGCTAATGCTAATTAAGTTCCCTTCTTAATCAAGTGTAGATATCAGTCACACCTGCGAGATTTTCACGAACAAGAACGTATCGAGAAAAAAAACTTTTCCTCTGTACCAATTAACAGTTTCTCTGCACATGCAAACAGATGGTTAAGGGTCCAGGCAACTGGCTGACAGCTTTCCATAGAATCAAAGCCGTCATTAGCATCGAGGTCTCATCGTATGGTTTGCACATAATCAAAATCCGGTCATGTGGCTTTCGCATGACGTGACCATAAATGGTACTTGCATTCATAAGCGGTAATATTAAATGAATTCTAGGCTATTCTCTCGTTACACCCATGCAAATAGGAACATTCTAAACAATCGCATCTATTGCCAACCCTGGCTATTGTTCTATATAATTGGTTCAATTCGCTGTATTTATTAAATTTCTCTCTGTTGCCTGTTTCCAATCTCGGTTTAATGCGCGTTTTTCATTTGATTACACTTGATTTTAAACCCTTTGCAATCTGGTTGCTCAAAAATGATTCAAAGAGAGAGTTTGCTGAGTTACATAAAGTATGTCAAGGTCTCTCCAGATCAAAAGCAACAGATGGTGAGAAATAAGTTACCTCTTATTTATGTCACATGATAAAATATGCAGTCGACGATTTTTAGTGACGTATATCTCTGCGTAACTCCGACGGGGTTACAGAAACATTTCAATCGGACGGTGACACCAAACGCGGAGCAGCAAGACAGCAAGAGCAGCAGCACGATAGTATATATTGAATCTGCTAAAAATAGCTTAGTCCGATCAAAAGATATAAAGCTGCGTAGGTTTCAGCTAGAAGCATCTAATTTATTATTTGATTCCATACGTTTGATATTTTATTCCCTGAAACTATTCAATATAGCCGTCGAACCACTAATCTTTGTATCTGTGATTGTTCCCGTGGTGCAATACGATAGTTAATTGTTTCTTACTTAAACGCGTTAATCATAAATACACTTATACCTAAACCGGTAAATTACCGAATTAATCCCACGGTAAAGGACGGATTAATTATAGCGTCCACGCGTCGACATTGAGAATCGTAGAGTGGAAAAACATGAAAGGTCACTAACTGTAAGTCTTATTTAACTAAAAGTAGGAGAGCCACACTTGGCTAAATTCCTACGAGTTAATAGTCAATTGCTCTCCCCGTGACTTTTGACTCGACAGCATATTATTTACGAGTACTAGTATCGCTTTATGTAAGTCTACATTTTAACAATAATGCAACACATTAACCAAGATGGCCATGTGAAAAATAAAGTCAATTCTTCATGACTGGTACAATTAACATACCATTATATTCCGCTGCCAAACAAACTTTTGTATGATTTATTTCTAGTAAACAATGTGAAAGGCTGTAATCAAATCACAACGTAAAATAATTTTTGACAATGTTTTTTGTTGGACAGATTTATCTTGGGAAATGTCAAATTAAAATTACACAATTGTACACTATCTAATTGACATATTTTTATATTCGGATTAGGTTAACTATGCCTATGCGCATTTTTGTTTGTAATCTCATACAGCATCTTGGTAAAATTTACTGATCTTGGCAAAAGAAAGACATTACAGTAATTGCAACTTTTTCTTTGCATGCATTTTGCCAGGAATAATTATTTACGAAGCATGCATGTTCTATCCAACTGACACTTTAAGTTTCTTGCTGATTTGTAATGCATTTTTGGGTCAAGCTAACGCGATATATCAAACAACCGCTATTTCATTATGAACTAGAGTTGCTAATCTCTGGATATTTTTTAAAGTTTAATGACTTGTCGCACTCATCTTGTATAGAATTCTACGAATACATGATCGCTTGTCATCCATTATCAGAAAACTAGACTCTATCATCATGCATGCTTACCGCACGGACGACATTGAGGCTTTTTGTGGTTTCATGTTGGCCTGCATAAAGTGCCATGACGTCGTTGCTGTATATGTTCTGTGTAGTATTGCATATTGAAAATGATCTTTATTATTATTGGACGTTAGTTCATAATGTATTGCATGTTGAAAATGATCTTTATTATTATTGGACGTTAGTTCATAATAATCTCCGACATGTTACACAGCGAAAATATTTTTCTTGTTTTAGGATAATCCGACATTTGAAAAGGATATATTTCCGTTGCGTAACATGTCCGATGGGCGGGAATCAAGAATTATGCGTAAAACAAGGCTAAATTCTTAACGTTTTAGCTTGTGGCGTCATAACTGTAAGTTCTATCGCAATTGTTTATAGTAAAAGACGCCCGTTTAAATCGTTTACCTTCATCTCATCTTTTTCAGTTGAATATTTTTTTGCCCCCCTTTTTTAGTGTAATTCTTATCAAATATCGTCAAAACGAGCGACATATCATCAATATTCATCAGGGGCTTTCTTTATATTTGCCTTGTTTACCGCATTGGTATCCTTGGACATTGGACATCTCGCCCGACGTGGATACACGGGGGGAAAAAGGGCAAAGGATCTAAAAATAGAAAGCACGCGATAAGCTACTTTATTGCTATTCCCAGAGCTAAACAATAATAGTCAAGTTAGTACGGTTTGACAATAGACATATTTTAACCTTCTGGCAGATACACCACATTTTTAGTAGATTGCCGTGCTGAAACATTCTGTGGGCCGATCGTTCTTATCTGTACGTTTCGGAACTTTGTTCCAAGATGGTATGTCATATATTGCAGTAACACTGTGAATAAATATATTCGGCCAACTCTTGTTATCAGTATTTCAAAATTGTTGCAGTTTTGTTATTTTTTCTTTGTTAAAATTTATGTGGCAATTAAACTGTATGGATAGTAAAGTGTGAGTGTGAGAGAATGTGTGTGAGCGTGAGAGAATGCGTGAGTTTGAGAGAGCGGGAGAGAGTTAGCATGTGAGTGAGGGAGTGTGTGAGCATGCATGTGAGTGAGTAGCGATATCATCGTTTTCTTTTCACCCCAATAAAATAATAATAATAATGACTCGAGTCTTCTTGTAAAGCGATATCGTCGTTTATTTCTCTTCATTTATTAAAAAAGATGCCTTGTCGACATGCAAATACCGTACTAACTCATCAATTCACTTTGATATTATAAAAACGCGAATTGCCGAAACTTGCATCCCGAATTTATGCAGAAATAGAGTTATGACGACAATTTTGGTTAGGACGACGATCCATTTCTGGCAGTGACATACATGTCATTATCTATTATAGCTCCTATTGAACGAAAGAGGTATGTAAAAGTGCAACACCTTGCCAACATGTTTAAAATGCACACGCTTGCAACATTTGCAATAATATTCAGCTCTTATTGAACGCTTTGCTCAACATTTTGTAAATTCATTGGACGCATAGAGAGAGCGATTTCATCACCTGAGAATGAGTGACGTAGAATTGAGCGATTTTGTCGACGATGGAGGAAAGAACCAAAAATCAGGCGAAACGCCAACGAAAGAAGACTTGAGCAAGCTACGACGTGTGGCCGACCGTATCCCCATGAGTATGTATATTTCCAACATTATCCACACGTTAATCTATCGTCAACTCTGCATCGTTTTTTGCAAAAATCTTACGCACTGCTTTATAATCATCGAAACTAGCTGCTTGGTACATTGTTGCTTGCGAACTCTGTGAAAGGTTTACTTACTATGGCGTACAAGGGCCGATGCAAAACTACATACAATTTCCCCCTCAGCCAAAACCAGGCGGTCAACCGGGTGCACTCGGCAAGGGAGAACAAGCAGCGACAAGCATCAACTTGTTCTTCTTCTTCTTCTGCTACGTCACTCCATTGTTCGGCGCTGTGATGGCAGATCGATATCTGGGAAAATACAAGACGATTATTATATTTTCACTCATATACCTCGTCGGGCTGGTAGTGCTAACGGTGACATCGATTCCTGCTGCTATCACTACAGGTGTATCACTCCCCGGGTTGGTCATTGCTATCATAATTATTGGTATTGGAACCGGAGGCATCAAGAGCAACGTTGGGCCGATGGTAGCTGATCAATACAGACCAAAGCATCCATATGTAAAAGTGCTTCCATCGGGAGAGAGAGTTATTGCTGATCCCAGACTTACGGTTCAGACGATATTCGCATGGTTTTATCTTGCCATTAACATTGGTGGACTTTCGCCGATATTAACGACGCTAGTCGAAAAGCATCACTCGTTCTGGTTGGCGTATTTGATTCCTACAATCATGATGGTTTTTGGTATACTCATATTTATCAGCGGACGGAGAGCTTATTATAAAGCGCCACCTAGCACGTCTGTAATCGCAGATTCGTTTAGCGTAATGAAAGTTGCTTTTGTGCGAGGAAAGAGTTTGGAAAATGCAAAGGCTTCCAATGTTCCTGTTAACCTTCATGCAAAATATCGAGTGAATTGGGACGATAATTTTGTGAATGACTTGAAATCTGCTCTAGAAGCATGTCGTGTGTTTGTTTTCTATCCTATTTATTGGTGTTGCTATAATCAGATGTATAATAATTTAATTAGTCAAGCGGCAACTATGAACACTGGATCACTGCCGAATGACATTATGAACAACTTTGATCCTCTCACTCTACTCTTTATGATTCCCTTGTTCGAGAAGGTCATATACCCGTTCCTTAGATCAAAGGGTCTTCCTCTAAAACCAGTTACGAGAATTTTCATTGGCTTCTTATTGAGTGCGGTTGCTATGGGATATGCAGCAGTATTGCAGAGAGTCATATACAACAAAGGTCCATGTTATGACCACCCGCTTTGCAATAACGTTCCTAATGATATAAGCGTTTACTGGCAAATCCCAGTCTATGTAATTGTTGCCATATCAGAAAGTATGTCCAGGAGAACAAAATTTCTATTATGAATGATATCTGTCAACAAGTACGCCATCTAATATTTTTGTTAAATTTATTTTTTAGTTTTCGCTTCTATCACGGGTTTAGAATATGCTTACCAGAAGGTATGATGTGAAACTTTGCAGCTCAACCAAGCAAGCGGAACGCGTTACTAATACTCTGCGACTCTCTTCTGCATTATATACTAGGCTCCACCGTCAATGAGGTCTCTAGTTACAGCATTATTCCTAACAACAACAGCATTCGGATCAATCTTGGGATATGCAATAGTTCCTTTGGCTGTAGATCCCTACCTTCCCTACATGTATTCTCTGTTGGCCGGTATTATGGTCATTACTGCTTGTGTATTTTACTCGTTATTCAGAAAGTATGATCTTCAAGAGGAGTTTGAAGAAGAGATAACGGAAAAGGAAATTCTTGAATATTAATTCCGAGATATACTTTATGATTTCCCTTCTCCGACACATCATTCAGCCATGGTTTATCCTATGACCCACTTGCAAGTTAAATTCTTTCGACCATTTTTGCACTTTTTTCTCCCTGCTTTTTAAAGTAGAAATTAAATTATTATCGTTTTAATATGCAGGCATGACTTGCTAATAAATTAATGTGTTCGCTCAATTTACCGCGATATGCGACGTCCAAAATAGTAGGAGAATTAAAAAATTTGAAGCTTTGGGACTGCTTATTGATAAACCGTTTTCTCATCTCATTTCAAATTCGTCAACCAGATACGTTTCTCAGTTTACCGAACATTTAAATAGTCGGCTACAATATATGTAATGCATTCAGGCGCTGGGAATTTTTAAAGACATGATTAAACAACATAATACGCTACGCTCATTTATCTACGTCTAGTGTTAGCAATTTCTTGAAGGTATTGTTTGTCATAAATACAGTTTCCCAATATTTCACCAAACGATCTCAGAGTGCGTTTTAGCGCATCGGTTGTAGCTTCCTTCTTGGCCTTGATAAAAGACCCCAATTAATACTTGCATCAACAGATTGGGAATTTTATTTTAATGTATATTTACCTTTTGAAACGCGTCTGCTTTTTTAATGAACTCACCAGCGCCGTATCCGATATCCTTATATCATATACAACATACTACGTTATTGAAGTTCTGTCAACTGTGAAGCAAAAATAGGCATTTAATTTTACCTCTCGATAGGTTCCATCTTTGAGAGTGATTCTTAAAAGGACGGAAACCCCTACTTGGACTTTACCTCCTGGCACTTCGTTGACCTAACATGCGGAATTAAATTACGAAGCAAACTTTCTACATACACACAAGTCAGTCGTTATAATTCACGTCTTACAAAGTCTATAGTGAGTTCCTTGACGCTCGAAGACCATCCATTGAACCCAAATATGTCATTGGCCAGACTGATGGCTTGACGTCCTTCAATGTATGCAATTCTAGCGTGGCCTGTAAATAGAATTCATAAGAGTGTCTGTTAGCACCGACTTTATACTTGCGTTTTCCTTTCGATAGCAGTTATTTACCTGGTCCGGGACGGTAAGAAACAAGCTGGGGGTCAAGCTTTTCATTCAAGAGGCTCTGAATCATTTTCTCTTCTTCAATGGTGTAAGGACGCGGTGTGCATGGACTAGTAGGTTCTCTTGATGAGACTGGATGAGGCGTTTGTTGAATAGATGTCTGTGGTTCTTCTGTCTTAAACATTGGCATTTCAATTTTTTGTTTTGAGAAAAAGTGTACGTCAATTATGAATAAAAAAAGACGCGTCTGCGTGTTGAAGGGTAACGATATCTCTTTTGTTTGTGATCGGAGTCGGAGAATGTATAGAAGGTTTTTAATCAATATCTTTGCGAACAAGTTTTGGTCAGCTCGACAACCGAAGTTCCTATTATTATCATTGTTATACAAATTTATTCTTAATTAGCATGAGCAAAATCTTTTAATAATTGTTCGTCAAACAGTGATGACGATACTAATGACATCACTTAATGTGTTCTTTCATTGCTCAAACCAAACATTATTCGATATGAACGGAGCCGTCTTGGCATATATGGTTGGCACACTTACTTGTATATGGCAATATTTCCCTTGTTGGATGCCGTTAAAATTACATTGTTACGGGGGCCGTTAAGGCTATGCAGCAATATCATGAAAAGAGTGGCAATATGTCTTTGAGGAATGTAAGTGGAATTGATGATTCATCACTTGCGTAATACCGCTGTATGACTTAAGGACAGGAGTTTCAGAGATATTCTTCAATCGGAAGATTCGAGCAGGTGTGGAATCTGCTTTTTATCGCATCTCCAGGATTCTTGCGTCATGAAGTGGCTATCGCGTCTATCAAGGGGGGGCAAATGCTTCGAACCGAGCTCGAATGTTGCTACGTATTTTATTCAGCATCGAACTCATTACCAATTTCATAAAACATTAGTCTCAAAGTTTACTTTTAATAAACAATTCTACCCAGGCAAAAGCAGCTACAGTGAACGTGCACGATTTTATTCGGCATCTTGTTAACATATTGACATACGTGGAAGTACATCGTATAATTCGAACCTTTGAATAAAACTGTAAATAATGCGTTTATTCAAAAAAAAGTTTGAGTCTCTAAATTATGAGAAATCCACGGTGTTAATATTGTAAATTGACTTTATTTGTATCAACGTGTAATCATACCTGCAGCTGAATCCATATAATAGCTATTTCTTGGTTTAGGCAGATCTCCAGTAGGTAAGAGCGTACTAGAATATTTACTCTCCTTCTCGAGACGTG